TAAACCCGAGCCTGGCGGGGACAGCAGGCCCAGGACGGTGTGCTCCAGCTCCCCAGGTGACTCTAACGTACAGACTGCAAGCCAGGGCTTGCCCACAGCTGGGCGGCACTGCCCACAGACAGGGATGAAGCTCACCACCCTGCCTGCCACTGGGTGCCCTGGTCTCTGTGCGGCTCCATCTCACCTGGCAAGGGCGCCTCTGCCCTTAGGTTATGAAGAAGACGGTGCCCTGACTGAGGGGGCGCCCCTGCTCAGGAAGCACTCAGCCGACTCACGCGCATCAGACCCTGCAGGCACTGCCGTGGGCACAGGACGGACGCTGCACGTTCACGTCCAGCCAGGGACAGCGTAAGGCTGTGTGACACGCAGGAACGCACAGGGCACCTTTCAGCTGGCCCAGCGTGTCCTCACAGCCAGCTCCTACCCACACACACACGCATGCAGGCATGCAATGCCAGACCAGGCACAGGGTGTGCATGGACTCCACCCAGTGAACATGCATCCCCACCACCCTCACCAAGCCGTGAGGCTGCAGGGCACCTCGCTCACACCCCCCAGTGCCACAGGCGCCTGGAAGCCTCCCGGTGTCTCTTCACCCTCCTTCTGGAGTCGAAGCCCTGGCTCCAGCTGAGCACACTGTGCTCTAAGATGTGGTCACTGCTTGGGCCAGGCTGTGCCCTTTTCCACTCCTCCCATCCTACTGCTTGCAAGGGGTGACAGTGTGACTCCTCCGGACCATGGGGTCACCCAAACGCCCTGACAATGGTGAAGCCCCGGGACGAGGGGTCCTCTGACCTGGCTCTGCCCCCACTGGCTGCACCCCCTTGGTGGGTGCCCTGTCCCCTGTCAGTCACCAGTACACCTGGCGGCCATGCAGTCAGCAGGTGTCTTCCATCCATTGCTTCTCCACCGGTCCCCATGGGTGCTTTCAGGATGAGACCTGGTGCGTGGCTTCCAGGCCTGCTCGGGCAGAGTCTTCTAGACGTGACTCTTCCACAGAGGTGCAGAGACCTCACTAAGCAAAAGACTAGGAGCCCCAGGTCCGCTGATGACAAACACCGAGGCTGTAGGCCCCGCACCCATGCTTCCCAAAGCCATGAAAGCACCGCGGTAGAATGTCCACCTGTGCCCTAGGCCTTCGCGGTCCTCCACCGTGACCTGGGCTCGGTCACACGACCCTCAGCAACAGCATGCTCATAGGTACCTGAAGAGTGGCCCACGTCTTCCCAGGATTCCGAGGGAATAGCCCTGGGAGAGATGACAAGGATGACACAGAGCCAGGGCTGCAGATGAACCCAGCAAGGGTCAGAAGTGCTCGCTACACCCCAAGCCCCACTGGGCCCCTCAGACTGAACAGATGGCCTGGGACTCGGAGGAACTCAAGGGACTGTTGCAACGAGCTGTGGTGACAACAGAGGACCCACAAGCACAGGGCCAAGCACCGCCCAGATGTGAGAGAAGAGCCAGCGCGTTTGCGTGGGGTCTGTCTGTCCAGCCTGGCATTGTCTGTGGTCCAGCGACCCCTGGGACCCCTGTTACACAGCGAGAGAAGGGTCCGTCCTTCCTGCTGACTGACAAGGAGTTTGTCCCAGGAAGAGTTTGAAAATGAATTACACATGAGATGCAGTCTGGACCCACTGCGAGGTTTGTTCCAGGATATTTTTACTCTCCTGCAAGCATCCCCTTTGGGCTGAAGGATCCTGCAAGAAGTGGAACGGAACTAGAAAGGCGCCTCAGGAGTCAGCGGTGTGTGGAACGAGGGAGGGGTCTGCAGCCTGAGAGCCAGCCACGTCCTCTGATAGGAACGGAGTGCGGACTCTGGTCACACAGACCTGGTCAGAGCCAGGGCAGGCGCACAGCCTCAACCTCGCTGAACCTCGACTTCCTCATCTGTCCAGTGCGGGCTGCTAATGGCAACCACCCCACAGGGCTGTTCTGGAGACCGGAAGAGCCAAGGCTTTTAAAGACGTACAGCAGCCACTCAATAAGTGTGAACGCCTCACACACCTCCTGAAGGGGAATTCTGACCTGGAGCCACATCCAGACGGCTGTGTCGGCCTCTAGCCCACGGCAACCTGCTGGGGACAGCTGCGAAAGCAGCGAGGGACCCTGGACACAGAAACCGAGTTCCAAGCTCACGTCCACGCCAGCACCTCACCATCCAGGCAGCTCCAGAGTATGCGGCCGCTGGGAATTAGAGCTGGACGACCCACTCTGTGCCCTCTCCCCCTCTCCCGAGAGCGACCATCACAGCTGGTGCTGCGAGAGCAGGTCCGGACACTTCCTGAAGGTGGTGATGCAAACGGGACCCATGACCCTCCTACGCCCCATGCACTCGCGCCTCAGGGCCTGGAACCTGGGGCCCAGAGCTAGCGGTGTGCCAACAGCTGTCACCGCAGGGAGGCGGGGCCACCGCAGCCAGCTCTGCACCAGGCGGAGAGTGCTGTGTTGTGAAGCCTCAAGCAGGAGCAGAGGTCGGGACGTGGTGGGAACGCTAGTATCTCAGAGGCCTCAGGAGTCGCAGGTGTGCGTCATCTCATCCAGTCCTCTCGACAAGTCCACAAGGGTGCGGTCCTTGCTGCCCCCATAAGGTCACCACACGACACACACCAGGCACTGTGTGCCTCAAGAGCACAGGCAGGATGCAGAAGCACAGAAGTCTGCACACTTAGCCAGCCGCAGTGGCACACGCCTATCGTCCCAGCTATGCAGGAGGCTGAGGCAGGAGGTTTACAAGTTCAGTCCCAGCCTGGGCATCTTAATGATACTCTGTCTTCAAATAAAAACTGAAAAGGGCTGGGTGTAGCTCAGGGTGGGGCAACTCCTGGTTCCATCCCCAGGATGTGGGCAGTGGAGGTGGCTGGCCAGGGAGGGGTCTGTGCACCTCAGCGGCACCCTCGCACTCTCTGCAGGACTGGCAGAGCCGGGAAGGGAAGGTTTGGCCTGGAGTGGGGGGTGGAGCACCATGCAGGGGAGGATAGGGCGAGCCTGGGCCAGAGCTCTCTCAGGTCAGAAATGATTGCAACTACAAGTTAAACCTGATTTAAAATCCAGGCTCATGTAAAGCGTGAATGCAGTGAAAATGTAGATCCTGGTGGCCACTGGACACTATTAGAATAAACTGAGCAGCTCGCCACTGCACCAGGGCCCCGATCTGAGGGCTCAGACTGCGGAAGTGCAGGGCCCCATCCTCACCCTTCACCTACACAGCAAATATTTATGAGCACCTCAGCGCCCCCTACAGGCCACCCCACTAGAGGCTGTGACACCAGCTCTGCCCCTGCTGGACAAAATCAGGACCTTCCAGTAGTGACCCTAGTGGAGGGACAGACCAAACACCAGGACCTGCATGTCCACAAGAACATGGCATGGAGTTGCCCAAGCGAGCTGGGGGACATGCTAGTTGCATCGAGTGTATGACGGTGCCAACAACCTAAACTGCACTCCCCAAGGGGATGTGGATGCAGGCACCAGGACCAGCGGACACATGAGGACATGCAGGCCAGGGCTTGGGGCCAGCCTGGCTTCTGCTGAGGGAAAGCCCTGCACAGACCATAGCTGCAGCGTGGAGCTGGTGCTGCCCCGAGTTAGTCGGGGCACTGGGCACCTGGGACCCAGAGAAAGGAGCACTGAGGGTGCAGGGAGCTGGCCGTGTGGCCATTGCACCCACACCCTGACATATGTCAGTCTGGAGTGGGGGTGTGAGTGACAGAATCAGGCAGAGCCTGGGTCAGGGAGCAGTCGAAGCAGGTAAAAAGGCCAAGCACTGGACAGGCGCCCGGAATGCAGCATTCCCTGGAAGGAGACACCCCGTCCAGTCTGTGGAGGAAACACACATTTGTGTGCAGACCGGCAAACCTAGCGGTTGCTCATTGTCCTGCCCTTGCCTCTGACCTTGGGAAGCTGGGCAGTGCAACAGGGACCTCTGGGCCGGGAACAGGCAGCCGGGGCCTTCGTGCCACCAGCCAGAGTGCACAGAGGAGCAGGTGCGGGGGTGAATGCGGCTGAACACCACGGACCCAGGGTGCACCCGGGGCAGAACTGGGGAAGGGCATGGCAGAGGCCGAGAGCCGAGCCTGGACCTCCTTTGTCCTGGTCGGTGTGAGTCACTAGGAGGTCAGACACAAGGAAGCCGGAGGCTGCAGCTGTGAGTCCTCTGCACCCTGGACCACATGCGGTTTCACGTGTGCGTCTTATCCGGCTCACGTCCCTACTGGGACAGGCAAGACGTGGACTCCAGCACACTGCATTTCTCAGCACACAGTAAGGACAGGGACTGGCATTGGTTAAGTTCTCTCCCAACGGAAGGGACCGTTACTGGGAGGCAGAAAGGATGGAGATGTAATCTGCGCAAGTACCAGTTCCCACAGTGAATGTGTTTATTACGCATCACAAAATACAAACAGTAAAAAGAGAGAAGAGAAAGGCAGAGGAGACTTTGAAACCTCGGGACAGCGCCCTTCTGTCAGGACTGGCTTAGCCCTTGGCTTCTCTTCTCATGTACGGGTCAAACATGCCCCGGGGTGGCAGGTGGTTTCTCTGTGGCCCGGAAGTCAGGGACGTCCTCAGGTCAAAGCCGTGGACGCTGCTTATTTTCCTCCAAGCCCTGTGCACCCAGCGCTGTGGCCACTCCTTCCTGACTGCAGAATGGCAGGCCATGCGCAGGGTGCACCAAAGGATAGCCTGCACCCGTGGACACGCGGGACTCCCGAGTGAGCAGCTGGGGCTTGGGGAGCACCTCGTGCCCGGCCCGACACCCCACAGCCCTACACCACAGAGCTGACCACCAGGCGGGACCCTCCACAGACCCCAGCGCACATCCCGGGCTCAGCACCCATCAGGGACCAGGCTGCAGCCGGCACTGGCCCCTGTCAGCGTCCTCCTGACTCTACAGTGGACGCATCTTCTCCTTGATGAGCGCCCCAGGGCATGGCCAGGGCTGCAGCAGACACCAGCCAGAGCCCCGGCCCCTGGAGCCCCGCTCCCCGCACCCCACTGACCTTGCGCAGAAGGAAGCAGATGCGTTCGATGTTCCTCAGCCGCTCCCTCTGTCGGCATGCGGGGAGGAGAGAGAGCAGAGTTAGGGGAGCCCGGGTCAGCAGGAGAGGAGTGGGACACCGGCGTGTCCACAGGTGCCTGCCTTCCTCGCTCGCCCCGTTACTATCACCGCTCTTGATGGAGCTCTTTCCACACTTAGGCCACGGCACCTTTTCCTGCAGGGCTGTCATGGTTTCCAAAGCCTCACAGAACACAGCTGCCATCTCCTGGGCCTCACTGCCAAGGCAATGAGACTGCTGGACTCGGGCAGCAATGAGGTCCTCATGGCTCTGGAGAGGATGGGGGTTGGGGCGTTGCACATTCCCTGACTGAACTGTAAAGACAGAGACTCCTGTGCACCCTGCAGGAGCCTGCAGCAGGACGAGTAGCGTCCACACAGTCCCCCACAACACACACACACATGCAGGCAGGCACATGCATGCAGGCTAGGAGACACACGCGCTCCTGCTCCCGCAAGCTACTGCCCCTGGGGAGCGGCACCTCCCGCGCTTTAGCGTTAGTTAAGTTCGCTGGAGAAAGGAAGAGAAAGGAGAGGAGAGAACAGCCCTCTACTGCCCAACCCAAGGGCCCAGCAGAGGGTCCGAGGCTATTTGGAGCTTTAGTGCCTCCTGAATCTAAATGGGAACCAGGGACAGGTGTGGGGACGGTTATCCTGCCATACACAAGGTCCCGGCTCAATCCCAAGCACAGCAACCAAAAAGACGGGAAAAAAAACAATCCAACAAGACTCCCTGATCACTGAGAAATGCAAACTGCAGGTCAGAAGCACTGTGACCAGGCTTTCCCAGGCCAGAGCCACCACCAGGGAGGGATTCACTCAAACTCGGGCCCTCGTGGAGGTGAATGAGGTCGAAGCACTCCACTGCCACCGGGAGCAGCATCTCAGAACGGGCCCTGCCCTCTCCTGTTCAGGGTTGGGGTGTTCCCAGGGGCACCCAAGGCTTCTTCTGTCCCCAGACATTTGGCTGCAGAAGGCCCAGGCCCTCTAAGGAGCCAATGAGCCAGAAGTGCGGGTGCAGTGGGAGTTTTGAAACACGGGGCTGGGGCATAGCCAGGTGGTGGAGCACTTGCCTAGCACGTGCGAGGCCCTGAGTGCCACCCCCAGCACCACAAAAGGAGGGCAATGAGAGTGGAGATCCCACCACTCCGCTACACCACTTGGTTCCTCAGTGTGACTGCATTCCGTGAGCAGAGTTCCTGCGCCCCGCCTGGCTGCAGGCTCTGTCCTCACGCTGGCTGTCACAGAGCCCCAGGTCTCCTCATCCTGTACACAGGGACCTGGCAGGGTCCAGGCCTGGCGTGTGAGTCTGGCACCAAATCCAGAACGTCTAGGAAGACACGGGACCCTGGGCCAAGTTCTTCCACCCTATGCATCCCAGTTCCCTTAGAGGTGGTAAGGCTGGCAGGGGGCAACTACATGGATTTTCACGCTTACAACCTTTGTGAAATACACTGAATTTTCAAGCAGACCTTAAGGATGCTGTCTTTTTTTTTTTTTTTTTTGGTACCAGAAATCGAACTCATGACCTCAGGCTTACCAGACAAGCGCTTATGCCGCTGAGCTACATCCCTGGCCCCTTAAGGATACTCTCAACTTGCAATAGATTTGCTTTACACCATTGACAGGGAAGGATTTGGCTCTGTTTAGTAAAATCGAATACTGGAATCAAAGGGGGCCTCAGATACTGTAAAATCCGTCTTGCGAGGGGTGGCAGCTGGTAGGTGGCCAGAGCACAGCTATGGGAGTCAGGCAGGCCTAGGATGAGTCCCGACTTCCCTACTCATGGCTCTGTGCCGCTGAGCAACAGGCACTGTTCTGTGGGCTGCAGACTCGGGGAAGAAGCCCACTGGGTAGGGCTGAAGTGAGGATTGCCGGTGGTGAATTCAAAGCTCCTAGCGCACAGCACAAGCTAAAGCAAAGTCACAGCTCCGTGCTAACCCTACTTTGCAGAGGGGGACACGGAGGTCTGGCCCGCATAGGTCACCTGGGGCCTCCTCAAGCACACTTCCTTCCCCAGGGGCTACGGCTGCAGAGAAGCCTTGCTGGCCCTGTCCCTAGTGAGTGCTGCTGTCAGCTCCAGAGCAGGATGGCACCGTGCAGGCAGGGCCCGTGTTCTCCCAGCCTCTGACCAGAACACCACAGGGCTCCTCAGACAGTCAGGAACCACAGCCAGAGGATGGAACTGACGCAGCCCCAGGGCCACGGCTGTGAGTCCCTGTGGAGCGTATGGGCCCCGTGCTTCGGGAAAGCCCTGTCTCAGTACCTGGTTGGTCCTGGCCCAGGGCTCGGCTGCTCTGACTATAGAAGCAAATAGCCAACACCTCTTCTCCCCCATCAGAAATGATGTCCCCACTTCCTCAGTCCAGATCTCCCATTCACCTCCAGGCTTTAGGACACAGCCGGACAGAGGGGAAGGCAGCATGCAGGGCCAGCCAGCCAGCCATGCAAGAAGCCAGACCTCATCACCACATGACATCAGCTTCCCCAAGGGAGGTGAGCTAGCCTCGGGCCACAGAGCCCCCTGACAGAAACACAGGCTGGTAACAGAACCGCTTAGAAATACATACCAGTGACAGAACCACCTGGTGGGAACCCACACTGGTGACAGAATCTCCTGACAAGAACACATGCTGGAGACAGAGCCACCTGAGAGGAGCTCACACTGGTGACAGAGCCATCTGACAGGAACACACCCTGAGAACAGGGGCCAGGAGCGCTGGGCACGGCCCTCCACAGAAACCTGGCACCAGGTCCAGGCGGAGGATGACCTGCCTGCGTGCTGCTCATGTCACCTGGGAGTGTTCAGGCCACACGGGCATCTCTTCACCAGTGACAAGAACCAAAGATAGTGGCACCAGGTCACCAGTGCAACAGACCCTTCCCTTGGGTTATGGGGACCTTGGCCTAGAAGAGATCTCAGACTCCAGCAACCTCCAGGGCAGGAGCGACCCGAGGCAGGTGAGAGGCAGGTGTGCCTTCCCTCATGCCCGCCTCCTTCACAAGCCCCGGACAGCCTGCATGACACCACCGCCCTGTCCCCAGCACCCCTACTTACCGCGTGGACAGGGTTGCCCTGGTCTATGGGGCTCTTAAAGTCTGTCCTGAGCTCATCAAAGGCAATTATCTGCAACAGAACCGCAGAACCAGGGTGTCAGTCCCAGGGAAGCTCACACCCCACATCGTGGCTTCAAAATAGCCCAGCAGAGCGGGTAGGGACACAGTCTGGCTGGAACCAACACGGGATGAGCGCATGGGCTTTACGATCACCTCCCTTCTGCCGTGTAGGCTTAAAATCCCTCTGTGTAGCTTTAAGTCACCTGTTCTTTACAACAATGTAGAGCAATCTGTGGCGAAGCAGGTTGGAAGTTAAAGGCACAGAAATGTAAACTGTCGAGTCAGCAGAGCCCCTTCCTTCTCAAGCAGGCAGGAAGGGTGTTTAGTATTCTTATGTATTTGGAAAAGAAGCTCATCAGAAGTAAAATGAAGAGAAGTCAGGAAAACCTGAGAAAAGGCAAACCGGGAAGCAGAGTTGATAAGATGAGAGGCCACAGCTCTGGACAAGCACCGGGGCAGCTGGTCAGCTCCTCGGAGCTTAGTCCCCGAGTCCTGGTCTCAGAGGTCCTCACGGACACAGCCTCAAAGCTGCCCAGGGAGCAGGGTTTCCCCACATGTCTGAGAAGAGCCTGGTGGAAGTGGCCTTCCCCAACCACAGGATGGCATGGCCACCCACTCGAGGAGCTAACAGAGGAGAAGGCCCTGAAGCCCACATCCGAGCCCCAGCCCTGCCTGCCACATGGCACTGTATGTGGCTGGAGGGCGTTGTGGTTTCTATCTAGAGGCCCCCCAAGAGCCTCCTACGCTCATATGCAGGGCTTTCAGAAGAGGACTGGGCCACACGGGTACCTAGCCGACTCCCCGCTAGGCATGAGGCCAGCTGGGGCGGCTGCCACTGGGGAGTGGTCTGGAAGGGTTTATCTCCCTCCCACTGCTCCTTGAGTCTCTGCCTCCTGGCCTCCGTGACTTGAGCAGCCAACCATGGACTGAACTATGAACCGGAATATACCTCTCCCCCTTTAAGATTTGTTTACAGTTCTCCTTTAAATTTTGGGCATAGAGTTTTCTGTCTCAGTAACAAGAAAATAAGACATGTGCAGTGACTTTCTCTGCTCTCAATAAAACCTCTCTACCTCTGCGCCTTGATGTGGAGTTGCCCCAGAGGTCCACTGGGAGGGGTGGAACCTTTAAAAGGTGGGGCCTGGGGCCAGGAAGTGAGATCACACGGGTGTGGCCTGGGTGGGATGTTGGAGCCCCACCGTCCCTGTCTGCCTCTTTGTCCCTGGACCCCTGAGGTGAACATTTCCACAATCTTGGAAACGGTGATATGTGCTAGCTGGTATGTGCTGGGCCAGCACAGGCCCAGGGCACCAGGCCAACCAAGCATCCTCTGCAACCTGGGAAACCAGGAGCTAGAATGAACCTTTCCTCCTCAGAAGTTGTCACCTCGTGTGCTTTGTCACAGTGATGGAAAGCTAATGCATCTACTAAGCAAAGCGGGCAACCAGCCGCCCTCTAAAACAGAGCCCAGGGGTCCCTAGTACACAGCTGAATCACTGAGCAAGGCAGCCAGCTCACGCCTCTGGATGTCCCAACCCAGCAGCACTCAGCTGAGAGCAAGAGCCAGGCGGGGACCTGGCTTCCCTCACCAAGCACATGTGACTTCACAGCAGGTGTAGTGTCCTGATTCCAGCATGTCCACAGGCTGGAGGAGAGGGCAGCAGGCACTGCAGTGAACGGACGCCCCTCGCCACCCTCGCTGACAGTGACTGTCCACCCTGTGCCGTGCCCTGTGCAACCCGGGCCCACTGCCCGCCCAGGAGGCTTCTCCATCTCTGGCTCCCTCCCACCACTCACCCACTTCTGGGATCAAACACCAGACTCCCAGGGCCCCCTGTGAGTGGCAGCAAACCTCAGCCTCAGCCTGGGGCAAAATCCAGCCTGCCACCAGTTCGCAGAAAAACGGTCTCCATATTCTTAAGGAACAGGAAAAATCAAAAGAAGAGTGCTTCGTGGCATGTGGAAATGATACTAGTGCTGAGTGCAGGGTCCGTAAGGCTCTCCCACGACACAGCTCCGGGTCTTTCACCTGCACTGCCTCAGCATGTGGCAGGGACTAAGACCCCAGGGCCCACAAAGGCCCAATCACCTACCCCCGTGCCTTCCACAGGAAGAACCTGCTGACCCTGCGCAGACTTATTTTAGTCTCTAGAGCTGCACTGGCCAAGACGATAGCCACTGGCCAGATGTGGCTACTTAGATTTAAATTTTTACTAATTAAACTTCAATTTATCATCATATTTTAATCGCTAAAAAAACCTATATCTATCTGCTAGCTGTCAAGTAGCCCATTTCTCCACTGCAGATAGAGCTATGAGCCAGCCCGATCCCCGTGCCCCAGGGAGCCCCCAGCTCCTCTCTCTTTCCCATGCTGTGTCCCCAGCTGTTATTCACACAAAGGAAGCTAAATGCCTCCCGACCTGCCTGTCCTTGCTGGCACATTTACACTGCAGTGCGAGCCGGGACCCAGCACCAGACCAAAGCCCACTGAGCCCAGTCCCTGCCACCCCGAGGCTGAGGCGCCCCAGCCCTGAGTCCCAGCCCCTCCAGGCAGAGGGCTGAAGGCTGCTCTCAGGGTCACAGGAGTGAGGCCCAACCGCCCACACAGACCCCTATCTGAGCCCTGAGTTGGCGGGTGCCCCCACCCACTGTGCCCCGAGAGGATGAAAAGAGAGTGCTGAGTCCCTGAGGGCCCCAGGCTGTGTTGGCACTGCACGCGGCTCTGGGACACAGCAGACAGGTCACAGCCGGGGCGACCGTGGGGAGACACTGAATGAAGAGATGAGAAACCTCAGGAAGGGGAGATCCCATGCTGGGGGCTGGCAGCCTCTCTAGAAGCTGTCACTGCAGCCGAGGACCTGCACAGCCAGGAGGCCAACGGGGGAGCTCTGGGAAGAAGGCCAGGAAGGGAGTCTTTTAAGTTGATTTCTTGGGTATTTGTCACCATAAGAGAATGAAGCCCAGCTCCTGGTGCACAGTCCTCTACTCTATGAGGAATCATGGAGAACGGCTCAGGAATCTGCGCCTTGAGGGACCCGAAGTCCCTGTGTTAGGCTGTCCTGGGAGGATGTGGAAGTTTAAGAGCTGGCAGGACTTGGGTCCCTGGGGTCTCCAGAAGGGAGCCATGGGAGCCAGCACCCTGTTCCTCTCTTCCTCACACCCTTGGTCCCACATGCCCCTGCCAAGACACTGCCTGGCCACAGGCCGAGAGAAGTGGGTCACTAATCACGGCAGAACCTCCAGAGCCAGGGCCAGGTCAACCTTCCTCATCATGAGTTGATTCTCTCGTGTATTTTGTTACAGAATGGCAAGCTGACTAACACAGGCGGTTCACTAAAAACACATAAGATATTGAAAACTAAATGAGAGCAAAAAAATCAAGAAATACACACATAGCACTAGGGCTCCACAGGCCAAACTCACTGGCTTGAAATTTTGGATCTAAGTTCCCCGGAAGCTCAAGTAAAAAGAGAAATCAGTTACAACAGAATCCCAGTGTCCGTAAAGGAAAAGGGGACCAGCTCCTTGGAGAAGCTACTCCCAGTGCCCACACAAGCTATAGATCAGGCTGCCATGCAGAGGATGAGCACCTGCCCAGCGTGGCAGGGTCCTGGGCTTGGTCCTCAGCTCAAAAGATGAAAAAGTGTAGGCAACACAACCCGCCCCCCCGGCGGGACTCAAACCTACGTCTCAGGTTATTTTCACACCTGCAGAGAGCACTGTATCCCCGCAGTGCACACAGCAAGGGGCCCTAACCACAAGCTGGAGTGGCTGGAGACCAGCAGGACAGCGACCCTGGTGAACGCTCATGGAGGAGGCAGCCCCAGACCGTGCCGCCCCTGTCTTGAGTGTTTCCCAATTCTCTCTCACTGGTCTGTGCCACACCAGGCACTGGGAAAGCTGCAGAAGCCAGTCCAGGTAGCTCTTGGCCAGGGCCCACGGTCGGGGTGCAGAGCTCTGGGGCCTACACTGAGATAGGTCACTACTGAGGCGCCCAGGTGAGATTCCACCTCCTGCTTGATGCCCAGTGGGCAGCTGAAAAGGTGCCACCTCACCCCCAGGCCGGGGGCCCAGCCACCCTCCAAGGAGCCTGCCTCTATCTAACAGGCTCCAGCTGCTGGCTCTGCCCTCGTCCTGTCAGGCCACCATGTCAGACCCATGGGCCTCCACCACGCCAGGCCCACAGGGGAGACAGGCCTTGGGAGGCTCAGTTCCCACTCCCACCTGCTGGGCCGTGGGTGGCAGCATCTTGCTCCTCCGAGGTAGCATAACTGCATCTGGGACACCCAGCCACCCAGAGCACCTGTGAGGTTCAGGTAGCACCTCCTTCCTGCCTCACTCTATGCCCACCCAGGGCTGCAGCAGCCTCTGCTATTCTTCACCTTTTCTACTGGGAGCGTGGCCCTGGCCCACCTCTGTCAGGAGTTCCTCAGTTACCCGCTTGGTGGATGCCATCATTTCCCACGGGCCAGCGATGCCCGATGATCAGTTTCAAGCTGCATCTCCTGCATACTCTGGAAATACTCCAGCCCTGCAAGGGGCTGCCCAAGCCTCGCATTCCACACCAGCAAAGACAGGAATGCTTCTGGCCTAGAAAGATTTCCAAGCGAGTGCTCAAGCTACTGCACAGCTATTCAGCAGAAGCATTAAGAGAAAAATATCCCAGTAATGCTGCTGTGAAATATCTGGCTCCAAGCAAGGCAGCTTCCTAATGAACTCTCCAGGATGAGTTATTTGCAAAGTGTGTCCCCAAGTATAACTACAGCAAGTGACCTGCTGAGTGCAGTTATTGGGCATAACCAATTAAATTTTGCAGAACATTTGCTGATTCTTCTTTTAGCACTAGGTTTTAGACTATGGCTAAAATAAGTATCTACTGAGGCCACTCTTAGTTTATGACTAAAGGAAGAAAGGAAAGGAAAAACCTGTGCATCAGCATATAGAAGATCCTGTTTATTTAAAACAAACAAAGACAAGCTGTATAACAAGGAGGTGGGCACCTGGATTACCCAAAAACATTTACAATCTTTGTACGTGGGTTCACGAAGCATGGCTGGCCTCGCTCAGAATGTACAGCTGGGCTTCAGCAGGTTGCACTGCTCCTGGGATCAGGTCAAAAGCTACAGTTGGGCTGGCAGGCAGGAGGCCCTTGGTTTGCTGCCCAGCACCACAAGCAGGAAACTAAGCAGCCACGGCATCTGATTGCTTACAACCTGGGCAGCTCCCAGGGAGACACAAACAGCTTAACGTTTTCCTTCACCTGAGAGAAACAGGTGAACACCGTCAACAAAACCACAGAAACTCCTAAAACCCAAGTGCTCTTCCTGGACGACACTGTTCCGAAAAACTTACATTCCTCACAGTTTAAGACCCACACACGAGAAATTCAGACACAAACTACAGGCATGTTCATAATGAAGCCTTCCTGGTTAGAAACATAATCAATCAAAAAGTGATGCAGAAGGAAAATGTAACCTCACAGACCGTCTGCGGGGCTCCTCCACTGTGTGGGCACAGAACGCTCCTTCCTCGAGTGAGTCTTCACCAGGAAGGGAAGCAGCCTCCCCAGCAACCCCCTGACTCCGACCACAACCTCGGCCCTCTTCTATGCTCCCACGACAAGAGCCACTGGGACTCTTACGCAGACACAGCAAGGGGGAACCGTGTTACAAAGAAGGCCAGCACTCATATTTCAGGTGGCTTCCCCGGGGTTGGCTTCTGGGATCCCCAGAAGAGCAGGGGGCATATGAGGCTGTCTTTGGTCCCCCGTGTACCTTCCATGTGGACAATGTGGTCCTGAGCCAGACTCCTTCCCAGCTGATGGCTGGAGTACGACACAGAGGCTATGGCGGCGGCCCTCAAGATGGGGTCCCCCATGACGACCAACTGAAAGCCTAACCCTCACCTCAATACTCACTCTAACGCTAATCTTACTGTAGGCCTACCCCTACCACTATCCTAACCCTAAACCCCACGCCTACACCTAACCCTAACTAAACCCAATCCCTAACCCTAACCTAAACCTAACCCTAAATTCTAAACCCTAACCCCAATCCTAATCCTCGTCCTTGCCCTAAACCAAAGCCTGCCCCTCATCCTAACCCTTCCCTAGGGCCTTGAGTCCCCTCACAGACCCCATCTCTTCAATCCCTGTGCCACCAACCAGCAAAGGGTGTGGCACCCTGGCACGGGCACGTCCACCCACCCAGCTCTTGGTAGCTCTTCCCAGAGGCTGGCTCCTACCTGCTCAGGTCCCCACACCATGTGCCCCTGGGAACCACGGTCAGACATCCCCACCGTAGGCCAGCCTCAGCCCTGGGATGCTGACAGCACCCTAAGTCCCCTTGCTGGCCTGAGTCCAGTCAGCCACCATCACCTTGATCCCACCTGGCCAGAAGCAGCACCCAGAAGCCTGAGTGGGGAGGATCCTGAGTTCAAGGCCATCTTTGGAAAGAAGGAGGGGAGGAAGGGAAGAGGGGAGGGGGGAGGAAGACAGAAAGAGGGATGGAGGAGGGGGAGAGAAAAGTTAGATGTACACTCACCAGAAATCCCATCAGAGGCTCTAGCCCGCTGAACTAAAGGCATCACTAGGTAAGGCTAGCCCTTAAAACCGTGTTTGAGGTGGCAAAAAAACCCAGGAAAAACACAGATCCCAACAATAAGATTAAATAAACAGCAATTCGCTTACATCAGGGAATATTATGCAGCCCTGAGTTAGATCTAAGCCAGTTAACTCAGAGAGACTCCCTGAGCCAATGTTCAGTGAGCAATAAACCACTTCTTAAAAATGGAGGTAAGGCCAGGGATATAGCTCAGTGGCATAAGCGCCTGCCTGGCAAGCACAAGATTCTGAGTTTGATTCCTGGTACCAAAAAAAAAAAGTAGTGAATATTTGTTCAAAAAACAAAACAAAACAAAACATGTGCATGCTTGTAATCCCAGCACTTAGGAGGCTGAGGCAGGCGGATCATTTCGAGTTTGAGACCAGCCTGGGCTACAAAGTGCGCTCAAGGCCAGCCTGAACTGCATATTGAGACTCTGTCTCAAAAGAACAAAACAAAACAAAAAAAAGAAATGGAGGTAAGGAAGAGGAACTTGTGATTCAATTTCTTACAGTCCCACTGTGTGGGTGTGCTCAGGGAGTGCTAAGCGGGAACACAAGCTGCAGCCACCCAGTCAGAGGGGCAGGATCCGCATGGCATCCCTACCCCACCTTGCATGGCTCCATCTTGAGCTCACGTTATTCACAGCATTGGGAAAATACTCCCAGACCTGCTGCATGGTTAGCACTTTTCAGTTTCCCTGTTCACTAATTCACTGTCATGCTGGACGCACCACTTCAGCTGATTCACCACACACGGGGCAGCCGCCCAGGGCTCGTGCTCGCAGTCTCACTGGCTGTGCCCTCCCCTCCCTCTCCCGGCCGCCCCTCGCCTCACTCCACCTCCTGCAGACCCCGAGCCCCCGGCTGGGCTTGCTGCACGTGGCCCCATCCCACCAGGGTCTGCCCTGGACCCTGGGTCTGCTGCTGTCTCCCGGGCTCTGGGAGGGCCTGGGGGTGCCTGCCTGCACCCAGCAGCACCTTCAGGGGCTCCTGAGGGCACAGCGCGGTCTTCTTGGTCATGATCTTCCCGCCTTCCTTCCAAGGAGTCTACGAAGCCTCTACAGCACTCACGTGCTGGCTGCATCTGTTCCAGCCGGAAGCCCCTCCTGGCACTGCCCCGCACACCACACTGAGCCCCAGAGCTACACAGAGCCAGACCCCAGCAGCAGAGGCAGCCAGGCCTCGCTGGGCTTGTGTTTGCGCACTGCTTTGCATGCACTTCCACACTGGCCCCAGAGGCCTTGCCAAGAGTATTAGCCTCATGCTGGCTCCTCCAGCAGCCTCCTGGCAGTGCCCACTGGGCCTCCCTGCCGGGGCTGAATCCAGGAAACGTCTACCGGCTAGGCGTGGGCTGCAGTGCAGGGCCCGTGTGACTTGGTACCCGGCAGGACTCCCTGCTCCCGCAGCGGTTCTTCCGGGCACCTTGACCACAGCCAGCCTTGGCCTTGGGCGGTGTGGGGGAGCAGCCGCCCGCAGGACACTCGGGCTGTGTGCCAAGCGGGTCCTGCTCCTACTGCCACCTCACCACCTCCGAGCCCGAGGAGAGCCTTCTTCTAGGAAGCGGCATCTGTCCTGCCCACCCTGGGGCAGCAGGAGCTGCCTGCACCTCCTCGTGAGTCCTACTGTTCCACAGACCCCTAGGGGTCTACAGCACGATGGCCGTGCTCAGCCATCTCCCCTCCCGGCTCTTTGAGCTTGCAAGCATTCTCCCAGCTCAGGCTTGGCACGAGGGACGGTGCACACCAGGGGCAGAGATAGAGTCAGGCTGTTCCGCGAGAGTGCAGCGCGGGAGACACCACGCTGAGACGGGGCTGGAGTGTCCACCGACTTGCAACCAAGAAGGGGAGGAGCCAGCGGGCTTCTCTGTTTGGGCAGTTTCCAGACCCAAATGGAGCCACCTGGGTCTCAGCAGGTCCTGCTGTGAGCCCAGCCTGGGCTTCAACGTTCGTCCAATAAATTCAATCGAGCAGCTGTTACATAACAGGCCCTGGTAGCAAGCAGGTCCACACTGTAGTATGGGATTCCTGTTGCTGCTGTAATTAATTATTAAAATTCAGTGGCTAAAGTGACACAAACACATTGTCCTATAGCTCTGGAGGTCAGGAGTCCAAAGGCCTAGAAGGGCCAAGAGGCAGCGGGGGAAACCAGCCTCTTGTCTTCTCTCCCAGAGCGACTGGGTCCCCTCATCAGCCTCCACTTGGGGTGCTGCGTCACCTGGGTGCCCCGCTGCGCTTGGTCTGAGGAAGCCCCTCGAGGTCACCCTGGCTCCATGCAGATATTGCAGGACAATCTGCACCCAAGACCCTGAGCTGAGTCACACCTGCAAGCTCACACACTCACTGGTGCAGGATTCCCGGGACTGGATGCTGACCCCAAAGCCAGATCTCCTTCCACACCCCGGTAGAGGAAATCGCTGGGCCAGGACCAACCAGAGGCCGTGTGCCTGCACTTCCAGCATGGCACCGTCCCCGGCTGCAAATCCCGCCCCACCTCCCCAACGTCTGTGCTCAGCAAGGGCTGAAGAACAGCAGTGCCTGGAGCAAAGGAAACCTCACCGAGAGCCAAGGAGCAGAGACGCCTGCCCTGCCCACCTACTTCCCTGCCACGCCCAGACCAGGGAACTCCTAGCCAGCATGGTCACCTCCCCTGTCACCAAGGGCAGATCCAGTTTCCTTCTGGTTCTCCAGAACCTCGGCTTCACAGCCCTGCACAGAAGCACAGCAGCCCCTCCTGACCCCCGCCTGCCACTGCGGCCAACGCCCAAAGGAATGCGGCTTCCCAAGCGGGGCCCTCTGCAGCTCTGTTCCCACTCCTGCCACCGCCCACTCCCTGACCTGCAGCTTCTGTGGCCAGGGGCAGGTTCTGACGGAGCCTGCGATCCGCTTCCTCCTCGGGGATCCAGCCCACTGCAGCACTTCGGTTGGGGTTAAAGCCTGCCACAGCCTTGGCCAAGAGGACACCCCTACCAGTGGCTGTGGTCCACCTCGGCCAGCCCAGACCCACCCTGCTCCCAGGCACTGCCTCCGAGCTGCAGCAGAAGGAACAGCCTGGAGCAGAAGAGGCCCTGGGGCCGCCTGGCCTCTGTCTCTCCCTGCAAAAGGCCCGGCGCTGTGCTGCTGCCCACACAGAGCTGCTGCCAGAACCTGCTCTGAAAGCACCCGCCGCTGGCCACCCCTCCCAGAGTCACAGGCTGGCGGCGCCCAGCTCCTTTGAGGCCCTGGCTCGTTCTGGACAGGGAAGCAAGGGCCGGGGGACTGTGAGGCCTGCCTCTCGCCAGTGGGAAATGAGGACAGAACCTGCGAGTGAAAGCGGGACCCAAGGGGCCGGCAGGGAGGGACACAGCGCGAGCTCTGTTACGAGGGCCCACCGTGCAGGCGTCCACACCGCCTCAGAGGCGCGGGCCGCAGTCTCTTCGTCCCACCTCCACTGAAAACGGGACAGTCCAGGGGTTGCCCTCGCCCGACGGGAAACAACAGCACTGCAGAGTAAGGCAGTCTGGGCAGTGCCGGCTGGGCAGCAGCTCATTCACAGAACCAGGTCACCCCGGGCCTCAGCCGCTCTGCCACCTTGAGGGTGGCAACAGGGAACCCTGGCCGCACAGAGTGGACTTCTGGGGCGGGATTCTCATCCCGCTGACCCTCAGCAACACCAGCCAGTCCTTTTGGAAGCTTCCCAACACCAACTCATGCACAGGCGAGGAGGAGCCCACAGTGGACCCACTGAGCAGGAGGCTGGGGCAGGGAGCAGGGGCAGGGACAAGGGCAAGGGCAAGGCGGGGGGCTCCAGAGCCCAAATCCAGGAGGCCACACAGCAGACCCAGGAGCGGAGTGAGGCCCAGCGGCACCAGGAGGCTCAGCAGAAGCAGCTGACCAGGGAGGGGCACTTCAAAAATAACAGGAAGATGACAGATAGGTAGATGGACGCTCGGTCCCCTCCCTTTGGTATAGACAACTGACAGATAGTGGGACAGACACATGATAGATAGAGAGATAGAGAGATAGACAGACAGACGGACAGATGACAGAGCAAACATCTAAAGACGCCCTGCCACACTTCCGCAGAACCACGTGGCACTGTGAATTCGGGCTGGTGAGCGCTGCACGTGTGCCTGTCTTCCGAATTCAGTCAACAGCTGCCTTTAGCCTCTAGGAAACAACCCAGCATCACAAAATCCACGGTGAGGTGGGGGAGGCAGAGCTGCAGACCTGGCAGGCACACATGTGCCCCATGGAAGCTCCAAGGCTGGGGGGGACCCTGGCCTGGGCCCGACTGCTTTGAGGCTGTGTGGCCACAGCTAGTCCCGTCACCTCTGGGCTCAAGGACCCCCTCTTCCAAGTGAGAAGGCGGCACCGGATGGCCCCGGGTGAGACTCTGGGCCTGCGGGGTGGTGCGCTCGGTCCCCTCCCTTTGGTATTAGGCAAATGAAGAGAAAATGAGGCTGCCCAGCCAGGTGCCGCAGGGCAGCCCTGATGAGCAGCCATAGCCACTGCAGGTGGCGGAGCCCTGCTCCATCAGTTCACCCTGGGGAGTGCTGATTTCCTTTCTTGCACAAATGTTCCACTTGGGTTCTAGGTACGAGAATGGAAAATGCAGGAGGAAATGGGGCTCTGGCTCCCAGAAGAACCCAGACTGACACCTGGGGCCGGCGTGGCACAGGCTTCGTGCCCAAAATGGTCAGTGCCCACGACGGGGTCAGCGCCCACAGCGCCGTGCACTCCCTTCTGAAAGAGGCTGTGCGGCCACCGCCTGCATTCTGGCTTGGAACCCCCGGCCACAACGCCCTTCCTGGGGCTCCTCGCTGCTTTCCCAGGGTGGGGAAGAGGAGCTCATTTAACAGAGGGACCCATGGGACCCCATCCCCACTGCGTGGAGCAAGAGACTGGGCTGAGCCCTGGGCTATGTGGGGTTGGGGTCAGGGAGCTCCACAGAGGGGGAAAAGAAGGGGCGAGGAAGAGCTGGTGTTCGGTCTCCGTCCCTTCACGGGGACACGTAACCAACCCACCGCTCACAGGAGCATCCGTCTGGGCTCATGCTACGTCTGTGCCGGCAGGGAGGCGGGCAGAGGGGCCTAGCGGAGGGGAGCTGTCCACATCATGATGGCAGAAAGCAGGGGGAAGGGGGAGCCAGAGAGGAGGTGGCTTTTTCCGGGTCACAGTGGCCGCACTGGTCCTACGAACCTGGGCCGATTCACACAGCATCCGGGCCTGGGCCCGGGCCCGAGAGGAGGAGCTCACCGGGTCAGGGGCACGGCAGGGAAGCAGACACGGCCCTGCATGGGACCTTAGCGGCAGCTTGGCCCAGCTCCTCTGTCTCACACACAAGACCCAGGGGCTGGGGAGACCCGAGGGTCACCAAGGCCACCGAGAAGGTCACCGAGACACCCTCTCCGCAGCACAGCCCCACCACTGCCCTCCTAGGGCATGGCTTTTGGTTCTACAACTGCCAGGCACGAGAGGAAAGGGTACCAGCACTGCGCTCACTCCTCTCCAGTCAGCACTACGCTCCGCTGGCCTCGGCCCAACTCCCCGCCACCCTCCAAGAGCAATCAGCACGGGACCAGCCGCGGTGCAGCGGTGACGAGTGGCCTCCAGCACCGTGCCTCTGGCTGACGACTGCACGTGCTCCCAGGGGCGGCAGCTCCCGCCCACCACATTCCCTCGCAGACCCTATGGGTCTGCTCCCAGCTTCCCTGCCCACTCCTGACACTGCTAACTGCCACAGCCGCTCAGAACCCAGTCCCAGGAGGACGTCCACACCCACCCAGCGGCAATGAGAGCGGTGAAAGTTTGCAAAGACTCAGGCAGTTGTGGGTTTGTGTGTAAATGTGTGGTCCACTTCCCATGGACCACACAGACATGGCAGGCCTGGAGGCAGGATTTTCAGGACAGACCTTGGAGCCAGGAGCGCTGGTGAGCTGCAGGGTGGACGCAAAAGCAGGACATGCGCTCCACATCCACAGGGTACTTCGCTGCCCGTGACACACTTGAGGGTGCCAGCTGCGCTCCCCCCGCCCCGTGCAGGGTGATCTGGAAAGCCATCTCCCCACAGGACTCCTGTCCCCTGCACTTCATGCTATTTCTGCATCCTGTCACACCAGGCCACGGCTCATCAGTCCACTATTTCCAAACCCACAGACCCAGTGCAGTTGCTAATCCCTTATCCCAGTAGGGTGCACAGGATACATTTGAATGTTTTTTATCTGGGATACAAATGTCTCTATTCCACAGGGGCCATCTGGGCCGCCACTGCTAGCTGCCTATGTTGCTGTCAACTCTTTTTTTAGAGTTCATGAATCAGTTGCCAATAAAGAAAAAAAGAAGTTATTGCCAAGACTGCCTTCCTCCCCTGCATTTTCCCCAGCAGGAAAACTGGATCCCACAATCTAAATGGACCATGTGAACACAAAACAGCGAAGATACCTAAGACTGCGGCTCTGGAAATGTCAGCCTGCAGTGGAGACGCCGCGGAGGTGGGGTGGCGGCAGCCCCGCAGCCACAGCCAGGCTAAGTGCCGCGAGCCGCCCCGCGAGCCCCTCGCCAGTGTGCGCAGGAAGGGTGGGGGACGCAGAGAGGGGAAGGCATCCTTGTGCCGGGATCAGCCTCCTCCCAGACTCACCGTCCCCACGGCACCCGGCACGCAGGAGCCAAGCCCTGGGCGCCACTCCACACCACAGGAGAGGAAATGAGCCCCCTGGAAGAACATGAATGGTGCAGCTGGCAGGGGCAGCAAGAGGCCTGCTCTGCGGTGGGCAGAGAGGGCTCTCCCAGGCAGACCCAGGCCCTGAGCATGGACCTCGGGCTCCACAGCGCCATAGCTTCACGCCGGCCAGAAAGAACCGATTCTTGTGGATGGTGGAGCCTGTGGCACGGCCTCTGGGTGGCCGAGCCACGTGGCTCACTGGGTACCATTCAAAGTGTGTGGGCTGCTAAGGTGCATCAGGCCAACGGAGACAGCAAGCTCTGTCCCACAAGACAGAATGCCGGGTCGCGCAAGTGGGGTTCACAGCACCAGAGAAACGAAAGAGACAGAGGGACAGAGACAGAGAGACAGAGACAGACAGAGACAGAGACAGAGAGCAGAGACAGAGAGACAGAGAGAGAGATAGAGACAGAGACAGAGACAGAGACAGACAGAGACAGAGAGACAGAGACAGAGAGACAGAGACAGAGAGACAGAGACAGAGAGACAGAGAGACAGAGAGACAGAGAGACAGAGACAGAGAGAGAGATAGAGACACAGAGACAGACAGACAGCGACAGAGACAGAGACAGAGACAGACAGAGACAGAGACAGACAGACAGACAGAGACAGAGAGACAGAGACAGACAGAGATAGAGACAGAGACAGAGAGACAGAGACAGAGAGAGACAGACAGACAGAGACAGAGATAGAGACAGAGAGACAGACAAACAGAGAGACAGAGACAGAGACAGGGACAGAGAGAGGGAGAGAACATTGCCTTGCTTCGAATCTGGTCAGTTTTTACAGAAACCACCTTTGTGACATAAGGCAGCTGAAGGAAACTCCACGATGAAATCACCCTCCAAAGTGTGTTCCTGTGAGGGAAAGCCTGCAGTCCTGGCTCCACAGCAAGCACAGAAGTGGGCCGTCCGCATCTCTGCGCCCCCCCAGCACCCCGCGGGCAGCAAGACCCCACGCTGGCCTGAGAGCTGAAGGGTGAGGGAGGACGGCATGAGCAGCAGTGATGTCCGGCAACACCTCTGTCCTGGGAAACAGGCGCGTGCCTCAGCCCTGCAGCTGCGGAAGCCTGCCGCCTTCCTGCCGGCCCCCTGGGAGGAGGGTGGCATCACCCGGCAGTCCCTGGTGACCCCCGAGAGTCACTGCTGGTAACCCTCTCCTTTAAGGGCTACTTACGACTTCTGATGACCAGAGCCTAGTGCTGAGACTGAGAGGTTCTGAAACTGTGCTACTCACTTAGGAGACAGCATGAACAAGCAGACACACTAACCCGGGTGTCCGGGACAACTAAAGAGAAATGCTGCGGAGGCCCCCGCACACGGGGCTGAGGCATGGGACAGCCCCGTCCTGCTCCCAGCCCCCAAGCACCTACACAAAGGACCAGAAGCAGCGCCGGGACAGGAATGTGTCCCTGCTCACAGTGGCCAGACAGGCAGCACACCATGCGCCTGGCAGGGCCTCCGGCAGCAGGAGCAGGGGCTGGGGTGTGCCAGCAGAGAGGTTGAGGGCTGGACCACAAGCCAGAGGTGGGATGCAGGCCAGAGAACCTGGAACAGCAGCTGCTCAGTCCCAGGGGCTGGAAACCTCAGGACGGGGCAGTGGCAGCCCGGGCCAAGGGTGAAGGCCTGGCAGGACCTGGAGAGTCGCTCTGCGAGTCCCCAGAGGCCTGCTCTATTCCTCGGCCAAGCAGAGGCTGCGGCACACCTGGCGTTTTCCCACCTCCTTCTCTATCCAGTCTGCTCTGGATAAGGAAGGCTGGGATGCTTCCCCGCCAGAGGAGAGCCCTCCTCAGTAATCGGACGGTGTGAGTCTGCTGCTGCTTCCCATCACCCATCCTTGTCCCCATGCACCCACCCCTCCATCTGCCGGTTTCCACCCATCACCCCATCTGACACCACAGCCCACAGGCCCAAGGGTTGTGAGCACCAGCGCCCATCCTTCCTCTCATCCCATCTAGACCCGGCCCTGGGACAGAGCCACCCACATTCGGGGCAGTGCCCCTGCCGCTCCTCTGACCTGTGCCAGTCTCGGGCACACCAACAGGGCTTGCGCAGCCCCTCCCCGCAGCGGTGGCGTCCTCCGGGAGCAGCCAGCACTCAGCCCGAAAGGGACGACTCAGCACCTGCTGCAACACGGGCCCGGAGGCCCCGGCACTGAGGACAGGCCAGGCAGACGGGAGCCGCTGAGAGTCTCCCCAGCAGGGCTCCCAGAGCAGCTGTTCCTACGGCCGGCAGCTGGCAGGGTGCGGGGAGAGGCCCGATAGTTAACAGGGCAGAGTTTCGGCACAGGACGAGGGAAAGTCCTGAGGGGAATGGTGGTGCTGGGCCCACACCTGTCATGTACTGTCGTGAAACATCCACGTAGAGACGGCCGAGGTAGGGAGGACCACATCACGTGCATTTCGCCATGGTGGCGTGGCTGTGTGTGTCAGGCCATGTGTGTGGGGGTGTGAGGGAGTGTGGCCACCATACAGGCACAACGGCCACACGTGCCACATGACTGAACCCTGGGGCCCGGGGGAGGGGCGCTGGTGTGCAGGGGGCTGCGGTGCACACGGAGATCCCAGGGTGCATGAGGGTGTAAACTGCAAGGGGCACCGCAGTATCCTTGGTGCCAGGGCCACGCAGGGAGCCCAGGCACCGCTGAGAAGCTGTGGGCACACAGGCTCCTGGCCTCTGCACCTGGCTGGTCAGGCAGAGACAGACCCCTTCGTGCAGCAGGGCCTTTGGCATGTCCTCAAGGCACCAGGGTGAGGACCCACACCAAGCACCCAGGATGCTGTGGGCCTGCGCCTATCTGTCGGCTGCTGCTGGTTAGGTACCTTTTGGAGTCTGGGATTTTGGCTTTGACTTAGCATATGCAGAAAGTTTCCTGTCTTGTCTTTCTATGCCAAAGTAAAACCATTCTCTGCCTCATCGCTGATTTCCACGCTGGGATTTAACTGTGCACTTGGCTTGGGAGTGGCCTTTGGGGCGTTAACCAGACCTCAGGGCCACAGGCAGGAGAAGGCAGCCTCAGGTCTGTGCGGGGACGCAGACACTGGTGTGGGCATGGCCAGGCCACGGAGCAGTGCCTATCGACCACGCCCAGCTGCTCCTCTGGGACGCCTGGCACAGACGGAAATGGCTCAGAAGCCCCGTTAGCCACAAGCGTGGGTGGAGAGGCTGGTGTGGGCCTCACTTGAGCCACAGCACACTGTCCACAAGGCAGGGAAGTGGGAAGACTGTGATCCTGTAGCACAAAGGCAGCACTCAGATGTCAGGGAGACCCTGTCCACGCTTCCAGCTGACAGGTGTCTCTGAACGCCTGCCGAGCCTGCCCCAGACACCATG